TGCGGGTGCCGGCGTCGTCCGTGCCTTCGCGCCTTGACGCACGCAGTAGCTAGCCGATCAAAAACTCGACGAGAAATTAAAGCAAAGTCCCGCCATTGACAGAAAGTCGGACGGCAACGATCCACCACGACGAGCCGATCGGAAGCGCAACGAAGACACCGTGTTTTTCCCAGTTCTCAATAGCGTCTTCATAAAATATTTCAACAGAACTCGTGCGAAGGCTTTCGTCGCCAACAGTTCAAAAGTACCAACGACACCTAGGGGCGTCTCTTTAATTTAGCACTGGGGACTGCAAAAAAAAAAAAAAAAGAAACGTACGTGCATGTCATTTGTGTATTTGCAGGCACGGTATCGCAGTTAAAGGTAGTTTGCGAGTTACCAAGAAAGCTCGTTGAGATTTTAGGCACCCATTGTGCTTACACCATAAAACATTATATTAAAAAAACTATGTAGTATTTCAAAACTTGATGTGTAATCTCAAGTTCCTGTTCTGATACGGTTATGAAAACGCATTACAGGTTGAGCGTCTTTTTAATCTCGTATGATTCATTACCCTGCCGAAAAATCCGGTGTAACTTTTCACTATCCGGATTATGGAACCGGAAATTTGTTACTGGAAACCCGAAATCCAGATTGCAGACAAAGGAATAATTTCTGAAAACCTAAATTCCAGACAGAGTCCAGATAGAATCCAGATAGATTTCCGGTTCCATAATCCGGATAGCGAAAAGTTATACTGGATTCTTCGGTAGGGTAGGAACACATCAAAATAAAAACAGATCATCTCTAATATTTGTATAAGCGTATCGGAGCCATTGACCGTAAATAAATTAATAAAATATATTAATCAAAATAAATAGTAATCGAACCGCTGCGTGTAATCTAGCTCGGCTGTTCAATCAGTCCTACAGAGCCGAATAGCACTATACTCCGTTTCAGCTTCGGTCCGAGCGCGGCCGATGTTATGAGCCGAAGGGCCAATAGACCCCTTGCGTATAAGGGCGCCCCTAGTGCCGCGCACAGGAACTACGACCAGCCGCCATGTTTAGGTCGTCGGAGCAGACGACGCACGCCACAGGATTGTCGCCGGCCGGCATCTCTCGCCGCGCGCCGACTTTCGCACGCTGAGCCTTGCGCCGAGCTTCGTGTCAGCGGCTGTGTTACATTGCGGTAGACGATGGTTGAAACGTGCTGTGTGCCACTGTGCTGCCAGCGTGGCTACCGCGACGAGAACAGCAAAAAGGTAAGCCGTAGAAGTTTCTAAACAAACCCACGTGCGCAGGCGCGCACGCGATTTTTTACCCGCGTTTTACGCACCTGAACAGCCCGTGCGAGCTAGTTCGCTGCACCGATGCCGGTGGCGCGGTACGCTTAACGTCAATAATCGTTTTCAGTAATGGATCACGAGCGAACAATGTGCTGTAGCGAAGGCTAGAAGCGCGAGCTCGTGGTGCCGAGGTGCGTCGTAGAACAAGAAGCTCGTGCTCTTAGATGCGGCACGTCGTAAGGTGAAACGAAAGTATACAAAAAGCTTCGCACTGACAGATCACTTCGTGCGAGGAGCATGTGCAGTGCCTGTGAACGAGAGCGTTTCCCGAAGGCGTAGCGTATGATGCGGAGTCACTGCTGACGCTAGGACGCACATTCTAGAAGCCTCTGCGATTGAAAACCTTGAAGCGGAGAACGTGAACATATTTGCCGACCTGTTTTCCTCGTGGCTCGACGTGCAAATCCTTGCGGACGAGATGGTCCAACGGCTCACGCCAGCCAAGTTAACAGGTTTTTGGTTGAAACAAGTGAAGAAAAAATCTCAGAAAATGATTTATACTGAACTCGTAGCACATTATTATGCTTTAGGAAGCATAATAATGTGCGTAGTACAGTAGTACAACTTAGCCAGTTGCTTCCCTCGTATTCGTAAACATGGTTTAGCAACATTTACAGCATATGTGAACTACGGGTGGCTTGAGAGTGATTGTTGGACATTTCTAATTATAGTTTTTTCTCGAACTAGGTCACATTCCACAAGTTTCCTTCTGGGAACAAACTACGGCGGAAGTGGATCCATGCTATCAGAAGAGACCCTGGTGCACACTTCAGCATTCAGCAAACAACCAAGGTGTGCTCAAGGCACTTCATGCCGGACAGCTTCGTCCCCAATGTGGCAAGCGGACGACAGTATTTGAAGGAAAATGCGGTGCCTTCTCTTTTTGAATTCACCAAGAAAGTCGTGCCTCGACTGGTTCCCAACCGACAACCCCTGCAGACCAAATTCCTCGAACAAAACAGTACAGATGTGTTTTGCAGCGATGAAATGGCATCTCCCCCAGACCTAAATGATGTAGGAACATCAACAAGGCAAGTTCCAGGCTGGGCGGTGAGCACAGATGCACCTGCAAGCATCAGTTTGACACAAGGCAAATGCAACTGTGCCTGCACAGAAGAATTGACTCAGATGAAGCTGCAGCTGAAAGAAAAGGATGCAGAGCTTGTCAAGCTAAAGGATCAATGTAACATTCTTCTGAACTGCAGCAACATCCTGAGCACAACAAAAAGAGACCTTGCACGAGCAAAGGAACAAGTAGTGTGTCTAATGCGGAGGAACGAGCAGCTGAAGAATGAACACACAGCTAAAATGCAAGAGCTCGAAAGAAAATTGTCCGAAGCAGACAAACGGAAGAAGACATTTTCGGCAGAAAGATTTAAAGACGACGACAGCAGCATCCAGTTCTACACTGGCCTGCAAAGCTACGGTCATTTTAAAGGATTACTGCAGTATGTAGCCTCAGAAAGTGACGGTGCTAATCCGGACCACCCAAGTAGGGAAGCAAGAGGTCGTCGGCACAAGCTATCTCAAGAGGACCAGCTTTTCATGACGCTTGTCAAGCTGCGACTTGGTCATTTCCACATGCACCTGGCACACATCTTCAACGTCCCTACCAGCACTGTGTCGAGGGCTTTTGGAACATGGGTTAACCTGCTCTATGTCCGGCTGTCGGAGCTGGCATGGTGGCCACCACGTGATATTGTAGACTCAACCATGCCTGAGGAGTTTAAGGCACGGTATCCAACAACACGGGTGATTATTGATGCCACTGAAGTTCGGTGCGAAGTCTCCAGTTTTCTGGTTCTGCAGTCGGGAAAATACTCTCCATATAAATCGACAAACACTCTCAAGGGACTAATTGGAATTTCACCGAACGGACTTGTGAGCTTTGTTTCAGAGCTCTTCACTGGGTCAGCTTCAGACAGAGAACTTGTGATCAGAAGTGGGTTTCTGGAACAAGAGTTTGCACCAGGTGACACAGTCATGGCTGACAAGGGATTTAAAATCAAAGATCTTTTGGACAAGAAAAGTATTGGATTGAACTTGCCACCGTTTCTGACGAAGCAACAGTTCAGTGTTGCAGCGGTGCGAGAAACGGCGGACATTGCTTCTTTGCGGATTCACGTAGAGAGGAGAATCCAGCGCATTAAGACTTATCATATATTTGACGGAGTTGTTCCCCTCTCTCTTGGTCCCATAGTTAACCAGATGTGGACTATTTGCGCTCTTCTGAGCAACCTTCAACCCTCTATTTTAAAAGAAGTGGATTGAGCCAATGTATACATGTTTGTTTGTTTATTTGTACAAATCAATATTGAGTATTGAAGCAGAAGCTTAAGGCTAAGCAGCCTTAAGTCCGTTCTACTTACAAAAATCAAAAGAAAAAATATTTACATGTACAAACTTTACAGGGGCACTGAAGTCATTTTTGAGATAGTCTTTTTATGAGGATAACTCAATCTACACACTTTAAAGGGGCCCTGAATCATATTTAAGCGTCTACCTTTTTTGCGGTTTCCACGTCTCTTAAGGTTTGGGCAAGACAGCGGGCACGGAGAGAGTAACTAAATATCAGTGCGTAATATTTTAACCGGACGACGCGGAAACCTCCTCCACCGACGAGGGCGACCCGCGGTGCCGAAAGCGCGCAAAATGTGACGTCTTTGGTCCTGGGCTTATTACTGGTCAGAGCCGCTAAAAGCTTCTTTTTAGTCGAAACCCAAAATATCAGTGGTGCGAACCGTTTCAATTATTTATAAAAGTAGTTTTTGTTCAGTATTTTAGATCAGAAAAGAAACGAATGCAATTCATAAAGTATGGAAACAAGAAATAACCCGTCGACATACCCGCCACCAAGCGGTGGAAAAGGTGGCGCATACTAGAAAGGAGTAGTGGGATCAGGCGTCGACACGGAAAGGTCCCGGATGAATGCGGGGGCACTGCGGTCGTATGGACCGGAGGATCCGACCGGCTCCGAGCGTTCTGAAGGCCTTCGGCGAGAAGCTTTGTCTTAAGGTTTGGCCGTTTCGCGGTATGGTAGCGCAAAGTGGCTCCCATTCTGAACTGATCTTTACCCCATGTTACTTGTCGTTTGTTGCCAATAAAGTGTCATGCCGAATTGGTATTTAATCGCGCAGCGAATGCAATGAGAGCCGTTCCAGCTGCCCGCTGCACACAGCCTATCCAGAACATGCATTAGTGGCGCCCTCTCGCGCCGTCCACAAGGAGTGCGGCAGCCGTGAGCGCTCGATAAACTCACTACCCCTCCTTTAGTTCACGACCACTCTCAAGCAACCAAGGACGTCATGAGGGAGGTTATTTTTTGCTTGTTTTTGTAATTTTAATTTGCCTATAACTTTTAAAATAAAGGGAATTTCGAGAAAAGAAAAGTTGCACTAAGTTACTACGTTCAGTGTGCTCAGGTTCGGTGCAAATTAAAAACCACTAAAAAAGTCCTTGCAGGGCCCCTTTAAGGATTCTAAAACCCCAAAATTACAATCCTGCTTGGCCTATTTCCCCATAAACATTCTCAAAGATCACCGACATGCCCTTTCTCATGGGATATTTGTTCAGAGTGAAGTGATTGACGAACGCGATTGTCGGTCAATTGCAAGCGATGGCTTCCCCTGCGGCCAGAAAATAGTTATCAGAATGTGTGCGTATGACTCTTTTCAAAACGAGTTATAATAAAATTGCTTAGGATCTATGCTTATTGTACGACTTTCCTTGGGCCAGAGAATGTGGACCGCAGTTTTGTATACTAGAACTTGATATATAAAGTAGCTAACACCTTGTAAACTATATAACAAAAAAAATTACCTTCTTTAAAAATGACTTCAGTGCACCTTTAAGGGGGCCCGGTAAATTTTACCAGCTTCTCTTTACTACTTTGCTGCAAAGTATGGCAGAAGAGTAGTGAAATAAAAGTTGTCCAAGCTCTCTTTTATGTCCTCCCAAATATTCTTGTCAAACCTGATCCTCTGAATGTTTAGGAAGTTGTCCCCATAAAGAACATAGTCTGCCCACTTGAGGTTTGTTACCCCCATCTGTCCTACCACTTGAGCAAAGTGGGGGTGCTCTGTCTTGAGATGCGGACGGTTAGAGCTGTTAAAAGCAACACTAATGTTACTTGCGAGCAATGTGTCGCGATCTGCATTCCTCAAGGTGTAGAGGCACTTTACTTCTACACATCCCCATGGTGGTTGCTCCGTCGCGTCGTACACAATTGCATCTGGAGTTGCTCCGAGCCATGGTTGGTCAGGATCCACGAACAGCCCCGCACTCGACAGATGGACGTCTCGGCCCCTGCTCTTTAAAACGTCCTCGTAGTGTTGCAGTGCTTTAGGCTCGTTGACAATCCCATACCTAAAAAAAGTAGATACACAATACAAAAAATTCAAATTAAGTAATATACAATGTTTATTCCATTCTTCAAACTAGATCAGCACGCAGTTAGAAGTTACCACTACAGAACCATTGGTTTTTCATCGTAAGGCAGAAAATGCTGTTAAATGAAAGACCTGCGACAGCATGCTGTGGGCCTCTCTCTATCAGTATGAAAATAAGACTATTTCATGTCGGACAATTATGTGAGAGGAGCGGGTGGTTTAAGCTGTCGAGTGTCGCGATTGTGGCAGTTATTGGTAAAAAAAAATAAGGTGAAGAAGGATAGCGGGTACAAAGGTATCTGTAGCAGCATGCCAACTTGTGGCAACAGAGGTTTCCCTCGACTGGCAGGCAGCAGAGCCTGCCAGGATACACCTGTTATAACCTGTTATAACATGACACTGCTGGTGTACTACCACCAGTGTTGCAATAGGGGAAAAGTACATTCAATTCTGACGTCACCAGGCAGAAATCGAGGGACCAGAATTAAAGGCGTGGTTTCACATAAAGCCGCTCAACGAGTTTCTTTTTTTTATCAGCGTTTCTTTTACAAGCAGCATCAAGGGTGCCAATGCACGAGACATATATCTTGAACAGCCCTTGGAAAGAAGTAACGGCAATGCACTGTTAGAGCTATCAAAACGCCATGTTATTTCATTAAGGCACGCACCTCGCACATTCACAGAACAATGAATGACTGTACTATTAAAACTGACAGAAAGCATGGATTTTATCGAGCGGCTTTAGGTACACATACCGGTCGAAGATATGTTCCAGGCACCATTTCTCTGCCTTTCCAAGTAGGCTTTGTACAATCTACTGGCAGCTGAATTCGTCCCCCAGAAAGCTCTCCCATAGCATTAACAACAGTTTCTGGACCAAAGACACACAGGGGAGGTCATGCAACATGCAAAACATTGTTTCTGCGAATTTGCTTAACTGATTTTGAAATGCTACGCTCACCGGATGGCAGGAACCCTGGACAAATCCTTTGTTGAGGTCAGGTTTGCCAGTCCCTTCTCTGTCCACTCGCCGTGACGATGTACAGTGCCAAAGTTCGATGCAGTCAGGCGGTACTGCCTTGCCTGAAGCCAGGTAGCACTGTCGCGCTGCCTCCGCGAGTTCTTCTCAAGGTCCTGTGCTTCAAGTGGCGTCAGTGTTATTTTCTGAAACAAGCAGAATTACATTAACAAGTTTAGACAAGAACACAGTGATGTGAACACAAATCTTCTCTGAAACTCCTGGCTTCCTGTCTTTGTTAAAACATTTTTTCCAAATTATTATAGACCAGAAGTGTGCAAAGCGGGGATTGCAGAGTAATGTCTTAGGGTCGCACGGCCCCAAAAAGGTTCTGGGAAATGTATGTGCACGAATCATGCAGAAAAATAACCATCCCTGAAGTAAAACCGAAGGTAACGTAACGGGACCAGAGTGTGGCCCTTATTGTACTTCATCCCACTAGTTGCTTGCAGTGCAGGTGAAGGCAGTGCGGGCCAAGGGGAGAAAGGGCAACCACTACGAAGGGAAGAGAAGATAAACCTCTTCTCCTCTCCAATGTTCTTAGTGCTCGCCCTTTCTCCCCTACTTGTGAGACAGAGTATGAGTATGTCAGGGGGCAGGGGCTTCCCAACGGCATCTCGATGCTTGAGGTGTCGCAGTCTGAATATGTCTTGGCATCTGTTGTGAGCTACCACCCACACTAAAAAATGTTATTTACATTATCTTAAACTATAGAGACCTTAAAATGCAATAGTCTATAAGCTTCCATTGCATGGCAAAAGACCCCATTATCTTTTACAGGAGAAAAAGCATCTGCCTCAAGCACTGCTGTAATAGTTTAAATAATATTTGATTCTAGAGTGATAGTCTAACAGACGGTCTACGGTTTCTCTGTCCTCCCAATGCACACATAGCAGGTGCACTCAAAAATACTGCGCAGTCTGGAAGAAAAAGTTCACTTCACCCTGTGTTCGGCGTTTGCTAGTGCACCTGCTATGTCGGCGATGGGAGGACGGAAAAAACCGCGGACTTGTTATAGCTAAGTGTGATTAAGGGTGTACAGTGCTCTTGGTTTATAAACATTGTGCACTGAAATGGAGTATGGTTGGTCGTTTGAGACACCACGCAGCGGTAGTAAAGTTTATAAGTTGAAATTACGCTCCCAGTATGTTAGGAAAAAGTGAAAACAAAGCTAACCTCTAACAGAAGCCTTGCCTTCGTGCTGACACCATCCACTCGTCGCTTTCAAGAAAAGGCACCATTTCTTCTAGTGGCCGCCCGATGTTCAGATGGCCAGGTGCCTCCAGCTCCTTGCACAACAATATGCAAAATCCAAATGGGACAAGTGGCTGCTGGTAGGCGAGTGGAGAGCAAGCAAGCACATCGCCGCACTTGGAGCTGCACACTTGTGCTCGATCTGCAGCTCCCAACACTGCTACCAAGGAGGTCTTCCCGTCCAGCTGCTGCAAACTGTTTGCGAATTGGAGCGCGGCGCTTTTCTTTTGGCTGATAGTACGCTCCTTAGCCTTGCTGAGGTCCAGCCGACATGAGCGCGGCAAGTCTTGTCGTCCTTTGCCCACCCTCCGCCAGTCAACACCCTGCACACTTGAACCTTCGATGACCTGGCCCCTCGGTCTTCGCCAACGCTGTGGCAGATCTGTGCATGACGGATGTGCTGGGGCCTCGGTGAATCCCTTGCCTTGGATCAAAATAACCGTCTTCAGGACAGCCTGGAGGTGGCTGCAGGCTTGCTTCCCAGCTGGGCACTCGCAATATCCGTTAAGAAGTTCACCGTCCTTGGTAATGGTGGCGCTCACGGTGTAGGGTGGCTGAGTTTTCTTGTGGCTCCTGAACCATCTGGCTCTCAAGAAGAATCTGGAGGCCCTTTAAATGACAATGATAAGCGATAAGCACCTGTTCCCAATCATTACGGTCCTGGCCATTTCATGCGAGGCACACCGCGCCATCTCATGCAGGGGATGGCAAAATGTGAAATACATTATCAGTGCTAGGTATTTCTGAGAGAACGTGCCAGTTTGAGAGCTGCAGCCTGCTACATGGCTGCGCGTGCGAATCGCTACACAGCTCCCGATTTGGGCAAGCCTGTTCTGCGGCGCAAGCCAAGTGACGGTCTGGCGTCGCTCGAATCGAGGCGCTTAGCTTCGTTTTCACAGGGGCACACAGCTCAGCTTGCACCGCCCGACTAGCGCTGGCTTGCAAACACGTCGTAAAACGGGGCGCGCACGTGAGCGATATGGCGAGCGACGGGTTATGCCATCGCTCGTCGCATTGCTCGTTTCTGGATTACCCGAAAAACCTCTCCCACCGCCCGGAAGTCGCTTGCATGCAGTCTGCCTCGGCGAGGGACAGACCGAGCGAAAGTGAGTCCTCGAAGAGTCGCCAGTGCAAGACAGGCGTCACATGTGTTCACCCGACAACGCTATGATGTTGATCTCAAGGTTCGCACTTCCCCCCCAAAAAACACTTATAACCACTCACATTTCTTCGTCGTAGTTGGCGCATACCGTCGACGCAACGACGTAGCTCTCCGTAACTAACTTGTAGCTCCGGCGAGCTCCCTTCTCGGTTCCCGAGCAGGACGCCAGGCGGGCAAGGTCCGGAGACGAGATTCGCGGCAGCCGAGCCAAGTTGCTCGTCCATCCCGTCGTGGGGTAGACGCCGTCGCTCATGACGGGGCCAACGGGGCACGCTGGGGGCACGCACGTATGCCGCAAAAGCACGGAATGCTCACGTTGGCGGTTACCTCACGGTACGGAAAGAGGCGCCGAGAACGCTGACCTAAACATGGCGATTTCTGTCCCATGATGCAGTGCAAATCGAAACTGATGAAAAGTTCGCCGTCAGGGTGCGCAATTGTGCATGGGGTTTATAAACAGCGAAACAGGCACAACGTCATGGCGTGCTCTCTGCAGTTCATAGGGCCAGCCGGTATTCGCCGTCTCTCTGTGCGTGCTCCTTCGCCGGCTAGTCTTATCACGCGCAGAGAGCACGCCATGACGCTGCGCTTTTTGCGGTGTTTGATTGGCCCTTCGGCTCATAACATTGGCCGCGCTCGGACCGAAGCTGAAACTAAATGTAGATGTGTTTTTTTTTTGTCACAATTAAAGTTTTATGCTTTTATCCCTAACGGCAGCTGCCGGCAGTTGCATTAAGATGCTAAAGTAACGAGATGTCTTCGGAAATGGATCAATAGCTCATGCTTTTCTATATATATATTTTTTATAAACTTTCGACACGTTATTCAACTTAACGAAAGCCAAGACGGTAACAAAAATTTATTAGTACATAGTCGTACACTCTAAATGCATTAAAGAGCGCAGCTATGGACTACTTAAAGAAGGGTACTGAGAACACTTGCCGTCGCATTTATAAGTAGGGCCCCGTGTTTTCGGAGTTTATTTTTCGTCAAATTCGGAGGGTGTTTTTCGGAGTTTATTTTTTGCCGAAGATTCGGAGTTTAACGGAGTTTATTTTTTTTTTTATTCCAATTCTCCGAAATTTAGAGCTTAATTTCGCTATGTTTCCTATTAAAAATAAATATATAAATAATAACCGAATTTAAACGTATGCCAGATAAAAAAAAACAAGACGCGCTTGTATCAATTGTAATATCTTCAGTTGAATTTGGCGTTGGTGCCATTGCCATTGGCAATACTAATTTATCCGCGACAAAACTCACACACAGGTGGCGCTTCGATAAACGCCCGATACCTTAAAATCAATAAACACCCGGAGGTAGTCGCTAGGAAGCTCGTAGTCATTCCATCCTATTCCATCAACATAGCCCACGGCCGCGTGAGGTGGAGTGGTTAAGGAGGTAATAGAGAGTTTTAACTGCCCCTCTTTCCAATTTTATACAATCCCCATGGTCCATAGCTTTCACTGTTACTAAAACATACCCTTTCATTTCTCTAAATCACAAATCGCATGGCCCAAACCGGAAACCAAAAGAGTGGCTATTCTCGTGACCCGAATGTACAACGACCGACTTGTTGGCCTGAATCAACCTTGAAGAGACAAGCAGCAAGACCCCTTTTGACAACGGTCCAAGATTTGACAGATAATTATGGTGGAATTTTCCCAGGAGCATTGACTCTGTGCTAATCAAACTGTAAAAAAAAAAAAAAAAATAAAACACTGCCGCATAAATATTCGGAGTTTATCGGATAAACCCGAATTGACCAAAAATTTTACTGGCGGGTGTTTTCCGGGGTTTTCCAGATTTATCCGAAAACATGGAGCCTAATTATAAGTATACGTTATTAGTATGATTTGAGTACGTTTACAGTATAGTCTGACAACAGTTTAAGGGCAGGTGCTAGTTTTGTATTCACGAGTATACTTCAGTGTGGCACCCTCTTTATGACATATACGCTCCGGTAGCGTGTAACAAGAGACTGTAATCAACTCCACACTTCTTACATTCGAAAGACTTAAGCACGTCTTCGTCACAGACAGCCGGAGGGCAATCACGGTGAATGGCAGCACATATTCGACTTGTGAGGACGGCCAAGAAACAGCCCGACTTGAAAACGACAACTTCGCGAGGACAACGAACATGACGCTTCGCATGCTTCTTTCTACCCCGGAGATCGAGGGTGCGTTCTTGGGCGAAACAAATAATTGAACCTCGTCCTTTTTTCTTTCCTTTTCTTTTTTTTTTTTTTTTTTTTGCGAAAGGTGTTTGCGTTTTTAATATAAATATAGGCAGCGACACTCTTTTTTCTTCTAAAATGGTGGTTATAGTGGGGTCGGAGATGCGTGCCGGCATACCAGCTGCTGAACCTGTCTTGTATGCTTGGTTCACAAAGCGACAGAAATTATTTCTGCTTATCCGAAAAACCATAGGGTGTAATGAGCGCAGGTCGCTTCTTTACCCTCTAAGCAAAAATGATGTTTATCCTAATAGTTACGCCAGGACGCAAGTTTTAATTCCGGAACGAAACCGAAACTAACCCCTATATTAGATATAATTTCACGGTACGGGTGTTCATTTAGGATTCTTTTATAACTCAAGATGTGTCTTACCGCTTAATTAGTAAGCTAAAGATGTTGTTCGCGGAGAATGTGTTTTGTGGAACATGTGTCCGATTTAGGCACTTCAAAATATTTTGGAGTGTTCTGTGTCCCTTTAAATACTCGGTCTTTGATACACATTAGAGGTAACATGGAATATTGCCGCGCGCAGGGGTCACGGACTTGTAGAAAGTTCTCGTTCACTCTTGCTGCGGACATAACTATCGTTCATCCCTGTTTTTGTTGTTCTAGAAAGTGCTTGTTCATTCTCGCCCCGAGCGCACTACGCTCGAACCTTCTCCGCCGAATCTTCGAGATACTGACTCACTCTAGATAAAAGGCCGCCCGCGACCTTGTCGAGTCAGTCTCGCCCCAGCGCTCGATTCTGCTGACACGCCGACTTCGACGCCCGCGACGCTCTGCTTTCTTCTGTTTCCTTCTTTATTTTTGGCACAAGTTCGCCACATTAAACGTTTATTTATTTCTGTTTATTTCTTGTTTATTGGTCACGACTCGCCACCCGTGACATTCTGGTGGAGGTGCGGGGTACCGCATGCCCGTGCAGCGTTCCCCTCCCAGGACCCGCAGTGCAAGCCCGACTCCAAGCTCGCTGAGAAGACCACTCAGCGCGGAACCTGAAACTCGGACCAGCCGCCGCACCAAGGGAGAGGATCCGGAGTACGGTTTGCTCCTGGATAAACCCAAGCCGAAGAAGACGACGATGGACAACCAGTCGCAGGCCCCCGCCGCTCCTGCCGTCGTCTACCTACCCGTCGCTCCTCGGACACCGGCTCCGTTCCACGGAGAACTCCACGAAGACGTTGAAGATTGGATCGACCAATTCGAACGCGTCGCCCGCCACAATAGCTGGACCAACGAGCAACGGCTGAAAAACGTGTATTTCTCGCTCGAGGGGACTGCCAGAAGCTGGTACGAAAATCACGAGTCTTCATTGACATCCTGGGACATTTTCAAGAGCCAGCTGAAGGCGACATTTGTCAACCAGCGCCGCCGAGAGAGAGCCGAAGACTTACTGCGTACCAGGACTCAAGGCCCCAACGAGAGCATCACCGGCTTCGTGGAGGATGTTCTCCGCCTAAGCGCCCGCGCCGATCCTCAGGCTACCGAGGAGAAGAAGCTGCACCACCTGATGAGGGGTGTGAAAAGCGAGATTTTCGGCGGTCTCATCCGGAATCCCCCAACAACAGTCGACGAGTTCATCACGGAGGCGACAAATATGGAACGGGCCTTGCTAGCCCGCGCCAGACACTACCAACGACACCCTGGCGTAACTACTCTAGCGACATCTGGATCCGACCTGGGCACCACCCTCCCCGACATCCGTGACCTTATCCGTGAAGCCGTCCGGGAGGAGTTGAAGAAGTTGCTACCTGCTGCCACAAGCCTGGATACGCCCTCAGTCGCCGAGATTGTCCGGGAAGAACTTCAGCAGGCGCTGCAGCCAGAAGTTCTCGCCAGCGCCGCTCCTGAACCACCGAAGCTGAGCTACGCCGCAGCTACCCGACGACCACCGCGCCCTGCTCACCCGTATACGGCGCCACCTCGACGTGAACCTCTAGCGCCGCAGTATTCACGACGCCATGAAGATCGGGCGTACGTCCGCCCAGAACAAGCTGCTCCACGAAAGACCGACGTGTGGAGGACGGCCGATCGACGCCCGTTGTGCTACCACTGCGGGGAGGCCGACCATATCTACCGTCGTTGTCCCTACCGGCAAATGGGCCTGCGTGGGTTCCACCCGAACGACCCACGCCCGAGGTACGGCGAACGCCCTCACGACATCGAGGAGTACCTCCGACGTTCCCCCTCCCCAGTGTCGTCTCTCCGCCGTGAAGCCCGCTCCCCATCCCCACGACGTTCAGCCTCCCCAGCGCCACGATCCCGCCGAGAGAGCCTGTCTCCCCTGCGTCGTCGGGAAAACTGAGTGCGGCAACGCCTGGAGGTGACGTTGCCGAAAACGACGGAAGCAAACAGCCTCCAAGAACGCCGGAGCGCTCCCACTCTCTCGACGCCCCGCATTGCACCGACGCGCCTGCAACGGTGTCCAACAACCTAAACGTTGTTATCGATGGCCAAAACGCATCGGCACTCGTTGACACCGGGGCAGACTACTCAGTATTGAGTGGGAGGCTCTCTCGCCGCCTTCGAAAAGTCACGACGCCGTGGGATGGACCGCAGATACGAACCGCCGGAGGACACCTCATCACGCCTGTCGGAAGGTGCACCGCTCGCGTCGAAATTCACGGCGAGACGTGTCCTGTGAAATTCGTCATTCTACAAGACTGTTCCAGAAACGTCATTCTCGGCATGGACTTTTTGTGTGAATACGGCGCCGTCATCGACCTTGGAGAAAACAGATTGACGCTGCTGACACCTGTTCCGCCTTCAGAGAAATTCCAAACTGCGTCAGCCGCCGTCCGAGTCGCTGCCGACCACGTGAATCTGCCGCCGCGATCAAGTGTTGTCGTACCTGTCGTGACCGATGCAGCTACCCGTAGCGAAGTTCTTCTGGAAGGTAACCTCCAGTTGCTTCTGGGAAGAGGAATAGGCGTCGCACGAGGAGTAGCTGAACTTCAGGATGGCCGCACTGTGGTCCTCGTGACGAACTTCCGGAATGAAACGCAACACCTCA